CATTGCAGTCAGCGGGTGTTGCATTGCTTCAGTCCAAAAGAAGTTAAATAAAAAGCGCCCATCCATAAAAAATGTTTAAAAAAGTGTCTCACACAGCTCCAGGGGGTTAACAAAGGCCTCCTGTAGCGAATCGATGCATTTTTGTAAGAAAAATATCCTTTGTTTACAGGATCAAAGGAAGCAAAGTTTCCTTACTTTAGCAAAGGAACACCAGTTTCCTCTTGGTTTATATCGAAATCCTCTGACATTCTTCTTTACAAATCCTCGTTTTGTACTTCTAATTCTTGACCATTGTTTTGTTTTGATCTCTCCGCTGTGTTTCCACTTCTGAGCGGCGCATGTGCAAAGCTGACCTCATACGTCATCCGCCCGGAACTGCTTCCGTTTACAACAGTGAGTACAAGCTAGATTCAAGTGATTATTACGTTTTGAATATGGATATTTTTCTTACAAAAACGCATCGAATTGCTTCAGGAGGCCTTTGTTCACCCCCCGGAGCCGCATGAGACATTTTTTTTATGGATGGGCGCTTTTTATTGAACTTCTTTTGGACTGAAGCAATGCAACACCCGCTGAGTGGCATTAAACAGCTTGAAAGATCAAAGACAATTTTTAATATAACTCAGACTGGATTCGTCTGAAAGAAGAAAGTCATATACACCTAGGATGCCTCGGGGGTGAGTAAAACGCAGCCTAATTTTCATTTTTGGGTGAACCCTTTAATATTAGAAAAACTTTGAGTATATTTTAAGTGTTTGTTTACAAATCAGCAAATTTCAACCTTCCATATTACTGACTCTCAGGTATATTTTACAGCATTAGTTGAGAGATTTTTTGTTTCCTTGAGAAAATTTGCCATGTCCTGTACCTGATATATATCCAAAATATTGAATCAAAACAAAATCGGAATCTAATCGAAAGCTTGTGAAGGATAATCGAATCGAATTGTGAAATTTGTGTCAAAACCCAGGCCTAGTATGTATTCAGATGAGTAATTAGAGCGATTTAAAATTTCAGAGCAATAAAAAGTAGCATATTATTTAGTCGAAATATCGGAAATGTGTTTAAAAATCATATCACCGTTATTGAAAAAAATTATATTGCGATACATATTGATATTGAATTATTGTCCAGCCCTATTTAGGGCCAATAAATTATTTAGCTTTACTCAGTTTTTCTGTCTCAGTTGACTCAGCTAAATATATAGGCCTGGCTCAATTATCCCTGTTCACAGAACAGGAAAAGTTCATAGAGATGTTTACCTTTGCTCTTTTACGGCGACTGGTCCTGCGTCCCTCTGCAGAATCTTGATCAACCCCTCCTGGTCCAGGAGGGTGCAGAAGAGGAGGTCCACCTGGTTCTCCACATGGAGAAGCTCTCTCCTTCTTTTTCACATCTGCTGAACCTGGGCCAGAGGGACCGGCCGGAGCAGCCAGAGGAGCAGAGAGGGTTTCAGGAGCACGGTCTCCACCATTACCCCCTGAGGAAGAGGAGGAACCTGGGTCTGACTTTTTATTGGACAGCATTACAGATGAACAAAGCCTCTCCTGAAATGAGGAAACAATTGCTGAAGGTAGTTGTACAAACAAAAGGTGATCAGAACATATGAACAGCGACAATCCAAAATGCTCTCCATTTATACATCTGTGGGTCCCTGTCATAATTCATAAATGTTTAAAGATGAATAATGATCAACTTAGATTCCTTCCACACAGTTTGGTCCTATAACTAACATAACGAATGTACTGTTTTCTATTACAGAGCACATGTACCAATGGCTGTGAATGCTCAAAACAACATGAGGTTTGCAGAAGTTTCATGACGCACTTGTGCACCTGCTCTGAACAAACAGGCATTGTTGGAGACACAAGCTGTTCAGGTATGAGAGGAGATTAGAGATGAGGGTAAATGTTGTATATTCATTTTCACTGTACAGCTTGCTAAACTTACGAAATTTTGGCATAATTCCTCTGCTCAATAAACCGTGAGCATACCGTAATCAAAACATGATCACATCGGCAGTACTCAACCTAAATAAAGTTGTATTTGAAGCAAACTGACTTTTTTTATCAGAAACCAACGCAATAAACAACCGACCTGAATATAATTTAACTACAAGTTTAGCGGTGTTAATAGAGATGGCAGGTAAACGCTATAACGTTACCGCACATATTTAGGATCACAGCACCAAATCGCAGCTACTGTTAAAAAATTTATTTTATTAAACGTTCACAATTACTAATTTTTAAACTATGAAGAAATAGAACAATTACTGTTGCGCTAACGCACTGGTTAGCTAATATGCTACTGCTAGCGACACGAGCTGTTCCCTCTGCTTATCAAACTCCAAAAAAACTCAATTCTTCATTACCATTAATTACAATTAACAATTATGACATCAAATATTAAACATTTTATGCGTTAGTCTCATTTGCCGTCTTGCGATCCGTTTATAAAAAATATTATTCATATTTACCTCCTCGCGGCTATGGGGAGTCCAGCACAAAGAAACAGACGGCTGTCCCTAAAGGAATCGCACAACCAATCCGGGTAGGCGACGAGGGTACAGAAGGCGGGATCTAAATTGCTCAGTGTTGTAATAGGGTAAAAGAGCAATCGATCAAATGTTTCAGAAAGTCAGGTTCAATTTATGCAAATTTGGCATGCAACGTTCACCTGTATGCGAACTTCACCTAAATCAATGACAAAAAAAGGTCCCATGACTTAAATTGACTCAAGTGTATAAGGGGCCCTCAGGGCTCACTAGAGGACCTCGGTACATTAGCAAGGGAGACACAGATTGTCTTAAATTTATTTAAAATAAAGGTCGTTATATTTAAATAATTTGACATAAAAAAAGTTTACCAAATAAGCCAGGCTTATTTCAGTTAGTCTGACTTATTTTGAATCAAATCAACTGACAATAAGCCAGACTTTCTGAAATAAACCTGGCTTATTTTGGTAAACTTGTTTTATGAAACAGGCCCCTGCTAAACAATTTATAAGTGCAACATGGACATCATTTACTACTCTGTAGAAAACTCTGTGACAATGTTTTCATAGAAACTAGTTGTAGCCTAAATAGTAGTTTTTTACAACAAATTTATATTAATGAATATGAGATTTAGTAAATAAATAACAATGTTTAAGACTTACAAACAATATATTTATATATTTTTCTATAATAAACCATTATAGCAATCCACCGGACAGAAGTGGAACTGGGTTAAGGCTAGATGGGATACAGCAAAAACTACTGGGCATGCGCACATCAATATAGCGTATTTTTTTCTCACACTGTACAACAATAATGACTATTTTTGCATTATTGTAAGGGGTAGGTTTAGGGTTGGGGTATGTGTAGACGTTAATAAAATCTAATATGTAGAAAATTCAATTTATTGTTAGCTTCCGGTTTTTGCTGTATCCCTTCTAGCCACTGGGAGGAGTCATGTATGTGACGTGGCGCAGTGGGAGGTGCGTTTACATAAAGCGGAAAAGTTGAGCCAGGTGCGGGTCGGACAGGTAAAACAGGTTGGTACGGAGCTGTGTGAAGCTGTGTCTCCGGTCGATGTACAATTCTTCCCGATTTATTAAAGAAATCACCTATAATAAGCCAAACTGGCCGCGCTGATATTTTTCTAAAGGTGAGTTTTTATCTGTTTATAAAGCTTTAAAGTTTCTACTCTGGGAGTGAGTGATTGTGATCGAGATTTTCCTGTTTTTCCTGCGACGTCACCCGTTGTTGTTGTAGTGCAGGTCATTCTTACAAATATCCTTTTTTTTGTCTTTATCATGTTAGCCAAACTTTTGAGCTGTTTTTATAACAATGGACGTAAACTGAGAGTTAATGGATTTATGAGGGTCCATAATAATTCCATTAGTTTAAGTCAAATGTATTTAAATACTTTTTAATGCCTTTAGACTATTTATTTGTCTTCATTGTACAGTTAATATACCTTGTCAGTAGACATGCATCAAAGAATAATGGTCATTTTTAACTAATCTTCACCATATCTCAAATCATGTATCAGTTATGCATTTAAAAGGGTCATATGATGTTGCTAAAAAGAACATTATTTTTTAACTTTATACATTTTTCTGTATTGCTTTATTGCATTTAAATGTTCAGTTATTTTTGTTGTAAGAAAAAAGTTATTAAACCTGTTATACTGTATTATGACAGCACTTTTTTTAAAACTAAATTTCAATATCGTGATAACACCGTATACCGTGATAAAAGCATTAGCAATTAATCGCAACATGAAAATTTGATACCGGCATATCCCTGGTCCCCAGCTAGGTAACTTCCAACGTGACTGGCACTAAGTTTGTGTAGTTGGTTATGTTGACGGAAGTTAGCCTGTTTTCAGGCGCTGTGTAATATCATTGCGCCTGCTGCACCCATGGTACGGCAGCAAAGTTCCTTGATTATTACGCCGGAATGAGAGTATAGTTCCTAGCCATATCGGCCTAGAAAATCCCAACTTTTCATTTTCCGTCGGTCTTAGTACATGATGTAACTACAGAAGAGTCAAGTTTTAAATAGGAAAAATATAGAAACTCTTTGGTCATTTTTGAGCGAGATGCTAACGGTCTAATCAGATTCAATGATCTATGTAAGCTACAGCTAAAAGTGCTACCGCAAGACCCGGAGATCGGCTGAATTTAAATTCTGGATTTAAAAACGGTAAAACTCAACTGTTTAATTCCAGGGGAGTTGGAAAATTAGCCTATTTTCAAAAATAGTGGAGTGTTCCTTTAACTTTTGTAAAGAATATCTCTTTGGATTTGAGACTTTAGTCTTTGCAACTTTAGGGATCTTATATATGCACGAACAGCTTGTAACACTCCAAAGAGAAAGGAAAATGTGAAATTGCATCATATGACCCCTTTAATAACAATCTGTGATGGAAATGTCATTTTAAACATTTTTGGAATAAAATGGTCAACTTCATTTTCATGCTTTATGAATACACACAATTGAACTAGCCTATATTTTTACCCTTTTTCCATAATGTGGCAAAATTAAATCTTGATTAGAAATTATGCTTACTACATGAAAATGTATGTTTTTTTAATTTATTTATAGTTCTTTATTTCGTCACGTGTCATATTTGATCTCAAGCATGCTGTTAACTGTTATTGTTCTGTGAGGTGGAAATGATACCACAACTGAAGATTATTATTATTTGTTAAATAAATGTATATGAATAATTTTCACACAAATCTTAAAATGGTTTACAGTAGTAGATAGTTAACATTAATTCATATTTTTATGATGTATTTTCATATTTAAAAATATTGGGACAACGCTAAAATAATACAATTGATACATAAAAAGTCCTAATTTATGTATTATGTATCCTTAAAAAAAAAAAAAAAGTTTCCAGTACAGCTTTAAATGTAACCTTCATATAACAAAAAGGTAAAGGGTAAAATCTGTTCTTTTTAATAAAATATAAACTCCTGGGTTACAAAAGTTCCCAAAGATGAAGAAACATCCAGTGTTTGATGTATTATTTGTTGCACTGCACTCTGATCTCTTTTCCTTTGGGCTTTTAAAAGAGTATTATTATTTTATCTATGAAATGTAGGTGCACACAGTAAGCTTGTCCTTCCTTTCAGAGGACATCAGGATGAAGAATGAGGGAGAGGCAGCTAAACGGCCTGACAACACAGCATTCACGCAGCAACGGCTCCCGGCATGGCAGCCCATACTCTCCGCTGGCATCGTCATTCCCAGCTTTCTCCTCATTGGTTTGGCTTTCATAGGCATCGGAATTGGCCTCTTTCTGACCTCACAGACCATCCAAGTGTGGGAGGTAAGCATTTACTGTGGGACAACAACAGAAAACAGTTCACTGGGTGGATGACATGGCATTGTATGGTAGAGTTTGTTCATCCTTTGTTTAAGTAGCATATCTATTAGTTCAAACAAATGTACTGAGGTATGTTATTGGTTGTTTGTTAAAGGATAGACAACACTATTTAAACATTCAAGTCTGTTTTAGAGTTAATGAACCCCTGGCTCTACATTAGTGCCTAGTAGTTGAGTTAGTTTGGAGGTGCTGTCATGCCGTGGTCTTTTGTGCAAGGTGAGAGACATTAATTCAAGATTAATGCTCTCTTTTCTCACCATGTCACAGATGGATTACACAGGCGTTGAGAAGGATTCACCCTGTTTCCGCTGTACGATCCTAAGTAACCAAAACTGCACCTGTGAAGTCATATTCTCCCTCAGCACATTATTTACGGTAAAGTCTGTTTTGAAGCCTGATTTTTCTTTCTCTCTCAGTTAGAAAGTGACTGATAATGTCTGTGGTGCTTTCAGGGCCCTGTCTTCTTTTACTATGGCCTGTCTAATTACTACCAGAACTTCAGAAAATATGGTGTGTCAAAAGACTATTATCAGCTCGCTGGCGATACAGGATACTTCAAGGTTTGCATTTGGCATGAACAATCTTTTAAATGTTGTTTTAACTTTTGGATCTTTCTTTTTATGTAATGAGTCCTACTTTCCTTGTTTTTATTTTCATCTGACTATCTAGAATCCAGAAGCATATTGCTCTCCATATGCGTATGACTCCAAAAAGAACCCCATTGTCCCATGTGGAGCTATAGCGAATAGCATTTTCAATGGTATCATTTCAGATTTGTAGATTAACTTCATGAATGAATTTAGCTCTGAAATGCATAACTAATCATTTGTTTATGTGTTTCTGCAAAGACACATTTGAGCTCTACCAAATAATCAATGGTACGAAGAAGCAGGTGCCATTAGACGGTAAAGGAATCTCCTGGTGGACTGATTACAACATAAAGTACAGGAACCCTTCACCTGTGAATGGCTCCTTTGCAAAATCTTTCGATGGTACTTAGCCCTAAAGTTTTTAGATATGTTGATTTGAGACTTGGAATTGAACTGAAATTCTTTATCTTTATTAATGCTGATTAACAGGTACAGTGAAGCCCATAAACTGGCCCAAGCCGGCATATGAGCTGGACCTCACAGACCCAAACAACAATGGTTTCCTGAACCAGGACTTTCTTGTGTGGATGAGGAGAGCTGCTCTTCCTCAGTTCAGGAAGCTGTACCGGCGAATCACAGATGGTGATTATGCAGCGGGGCTCCCTGCTGGAAACTACTCTCTGAAAGTGCATTACAGTATCCTAAAAGTCAAAACTCACTCAAGACATAGGGATTAATAATAGGATTTTTATGTTTTATTCATTTCACCAAGTTTCTAGGACTTACAGGATTTACAGGTTGGGTGTGGCTTTAAGCTGGTCCAGTGCAGAATATAGAAGCAACAAACAAGGGTTTTGAATATGTAAATCGATGAAAAGGCATAACGGTCAAAAAAGCCGATCATGTCTTAAAGGTACACTTTTGTAAAAAAAAAAAAAATTCTCCTTATACACAAGTTTTCCACAAAAGGAAATGAATTTTACTTTTGAAAAACTGTTTAACATCATGTACCCCAAAAAAAGTTTAGGGTTTGTAAGATTTAAAAAAAAAAGTTTTTAAAAGTAGTTACGCTTACCAAGGCATTTATTTGATTGAAAATACAGTAAAAAACAGTAATATTGTAAATTATTATTACAATATAAAGTAACTCTTTTCTATTTTAATACGTTTTAAAATGTGATTGCAAAGCTGAATTTTTAGCAGCCATTACTTCAGTCTTAAGTGTCACATGATCCTTCAGAAATCATTCTAATATGTGACCCTGGACCACAAAACCAGTATTAAGTCGCTTGGGTATATTTGTAGCAATAGCCAAAAATACATTGTATGGGTCAAAATTATTGATTTTTCTTTTATGCCAAAAATCATTAGGATATTAAGTAAGGATCATGTTCCATGAAGATATTTTGTAAATTTCCTACTGTAAATATATTCAAACTTAATTTTTGATTAGTAATATGCATTGCTAAGAACTTCATTTGGACAACTTTAAAGGCGATTTTCTCAATATTTAGATTTTTTTGCACCCTCAGATTCCAGATTTTCAAATAGTTGTATCTCGGTCAAATACTGTCCTATCCTAACAAACCATACATCAATGGAAAGCTTATTTATTCAGCTTTTAGATGCTGTATAAATCTCAATTATGAAAAATTGACCCTTATGACTGGTTTTGTGGTCCAGTGTCACATATGCTGATTTGGTGCAACATTTCTTCTTATTATCAATGTAGAATACAGATTTGTTTTAAATTGTGTTTTGTAACATAATGTAACATAAAAGTTGTTACTGCCACTTTTGATCAATTTAATTCAGCCTTGCTGAATGAAGTATTAATTTCTTTCAAAAGGGACCACATGACGAAATCTCGCTTTATCTTTTTAACCCTCCTGTTATTGTCATTTTTGCTTGTGTAATAAATTATTTATGGCTGATAGTGAATAGAGGATTTCTACAATGGTATTGGTGACTGAAAACCTGCTTTTTCTTCAGGTGTCAAAATGTGTCCACAATGACTGCCTGTTCAACAAACACCTTTAAGGCAAAGTTTGAGAAGCGCTTGTTTTCTGGGGAAAGGACAGTTTAAAACAAAAATGCAATAGAGATGTTCACATGCAGCATGAATGAACCATGTTTGTTTCTTAACCACATCATTTCCAGACTACCCAGTACTGAGTTTTGATGGACGTAAGAAGGTGGTCTTCAGCAACGTGTCTTGGATGGGAGGGAAGAATGACTTCTTGGGCATTGCTTATTTAGTAGTTGGCTCCTTGTGTGTGATCATGTCAGTGGTTATGCTAGTTGTTTATGCCAAATTCAAATTCTCAGATGATGATGAAGCAAGGTAGCTTTGCTTTATAAAGACCAGCTCGTACATGCATCAAAAAAGAAAAGAAATAAGGGATTCATTAAGATGGTGCCAAATGTTATTTTCAGACAAAAACATCATGGTCTAGATAATCATTTTGCATTCACATGTTAGAAAGTTTTAACTTCAGGTCATTTATTTATTTTTAATCAGGAATTGTTTACTAAAAGAACTTGAATGTTCTAAGAGTGACATCTTCAAATTAGTTCATATGTCTTAGAATCTGAAGATCAAAATTGTTATCTGAGGTCATTATTCAGGGTTTCTTTTTGTCTACTTTGACTCTCTCAGGTATAAAAGATGAATTAGCAATTTGATTAGCTATTTTGTTTGGTTTCTGGACAATACAGATTAAATCTTATAATGGTTTTTAAATTTGTTTAAAACTTAGATTTCTTGACTACTCAAGAAATGTTTAACAGATATATGGACAGAGACAGTCTCAGGTGCCATATCTACCTGTCAAATGCATAGCTTGGGTAAAGCTTTGCGTATGTTTAGTTTCATATATTGAGAATTAAAATGTATTGCAGCTTGTATATTTTCTGTAATAAACTTAAAATGCTGTTTTATAATATTAAAAGGTTTACACAAGCATTTTATTGCTGTCTTATAATATTTAGCCATAACGGCAGCACTGTTTTTGTTGTGAGCTTTTAACTGTTTCAAGCATGAAAGATTTTATTTCCAAGCAAGGGAAATGCTGTGCTTTTACAGTGCCATTTGTACTGGACAAGTTAAATGAAAGTGAAGGGCGAATCTTGACTTCGTTTGCACGCATCGGTGATATTGATCCCTGTTAGTGAAGGAGCTCTTATTTGGGAGCAGTATTCTGTGCAGAGTTTAGCTCTAATTCAGCACTCTGGTTCAGTGTCTTTTGAAATACAATGTTTGAATAGTGATCTGCTCATAATTATCACTTTTGTGTACTGCTCATAATTAACACTTGATTGTCTGGACCTGATTTTTAATGTTACTTAAAATAAAAAAGGCTATTGTCTGCACATGAATTTGGCAAGTAAAGATGACATAATTAAGATTTGTGATAAATTCAATTGCAAAATTATTGAATTTCTGAAACCCTCCATCACACTTGTGCCTTTGTATACATCATTTAACATTAGGCTGCTTTGGGGAGAACCTACACTATACACTATGCCCCAAAAAAGTTTGGAGTTGGTAATTGGTTAATAAACTTGATCTCTCTTATGCTCACCATGGTTGTATTTACTTGGTCAAAAATGCAGTAAAAATTTTATTATTGTGAAATATTATTACATTATAAGGCTACTGAAAATTCACCTATTACTAAGTTTTCATTGTCACATGATCCTTCAGAAATCATGCTAATATACTGGTGCAACGTTTTTTACTGACATCGATGTTGAAAACAGATGTGCTGCTTAATATTTTTGTGGAAACCATGATTAATTTTTTTCAGGATTGTTGAGTAGAATATTCAAAAGAACTGTATTTTATTTGAAATAGAAATGTTTTGTAACTTTTTTAATTTCTTTACTGCCACACTTGGTCAATTTAACGCATCTTTTCCGAATTATGTATTAATGTAGTAAAAAAAATCTTACCCCAAACCTTTGAAAGGTATTATAGTAAAAGAGAACTGTAAATGGAGTTTGATTAATAGCTGCTATAAATAATAAAGAAGCAAATAGGATGAGGCGCAGGCACTGCTTCAAGTCGACAGCGAGTGTTCGGCTGTGCCTTATATAGTTTAGAGAGGAAACGAGTGGATTATAGGTCGGAGGCGGAGGAACGCTAGATCGCAAACCGGAAGTGCTGCGTGAGAGTGTTTTGGGTGACGGATTAGCAACAAATGTACCGTGGATGCAACTATCATGGGTGAAAGTACGGATGGAGATAGTGAAGGTATGCCTTGGCAGGATGTGTCAAGGAAGAGGAAAGATAGGAGTAATAGCTCTGGAAGTTCAAGTTTAGGGTTGGAGGTGAGTGACGTGGGGAAAAAAACAGAGAGAGAGAGAGAGAGAGAGAGAGAGAGAGAGAGAGAGAGAGAGAGAGAGGATGAGGCGCAATGAAATTTGTAACACTGCTGTGTGTGCACTAGGTGGCACGGTTGGGTCAAGGTTACGTGTTAGTAATAGTACACCTGCTGCATAGATAGGCTACTTCCATCTCTCACTTCTTCTTTAACTCTTTATAAACTTGTAACTGTTATTTAAATAGCTTAACTATTTAATTAACCATTTTACCTTCCAAGATGGCTTTTTTATTAAAGCTAGAGTAGGCCTACGCTATATGTTGGAATCCCTTTATTTCGATTTGTAATCTCAGAAGGATTAAAAGCCTCACCTCGCTCGGTTGTTAGGTTTGTAGACGTGAGGTGCACCAGGTTGTGGATGTGTTGAGTGTGAGAGTGCCTGTAGTGGCGGTTCTCCCGCTGATGACTGTGTCGTCTACACCGATAGTTTTGGCCGGGCTGCTATCACTGTTTTTGTATTATTAGCCTGTGATATGGGTGCCTTCATTTCCTGTTCTTTCAGATGTTTGAAGCAGGCCTGATATTGGAAAGGCTGAGAGGAGAGAGCAAAAAACATCAACAAGGCCAGAGGTGCATCTCTCTCTTTCATTTCTTCACCTCTCTTTTCTTAATATAGCATTGCATTATAAGTGCAAGTGATGATGGTTCGTGTGTGGGTGTTTTTACTCTGGAGAGCGAGGGTCTTTATGAACAGAACAGATATTAGACATTATCCTAAGCGCGGTAAAGTTAGTTTTAGGTTTGATATTCGCCTAGGCTGCTTTAGGGACCGTCTGCAAATTTACCGCGCTATTATCCTACTGGTTCCGCCCTTCTGGAAAGCTCCATAGCCTATATTGTTTTACTCTTCATAGCCATTTCATTTGTCGGACCCCGACCAATAATGTAAAGCACTGTGTTATTATTGAAGTGATAATTGTTGCAATAACAACATATCCTGTACATAATGACCAGCTTCATGACCGTAATAAGCACGAAAGGTTTTTATTTCCGAGCGAGGTAACTTAGAGCAGAGAGTTCCGCGACTGGACAATTTGAGTCGAATCTTTACTGACTTGCCAGGACTTCATTAGCGCACGTCGGTGGTATTGATGCTGTAAGTGAGTGGAGGGAATTTTAGCGCAATGGAGTAGCCTATACATTAAGACCTATGTCTTTACAGTGATTCAGTCCCGCAGTGTTTGCAAAGTATTGACAAACAAACTTGAATTGAAATAAATTCAAGCATTCGAAACTCTCGCGCACAACATCCTACTGCGACAACACCCTTATTTAAATGAGTGCACAACTTCACTCAGGCTCTAAAAATAGATTGATTCCACACTATCAAGCAATTATGAACCCGTATTATGGTTTCTGAGGATTGCGAGGATTTTCTTAACAAGCAAAACTGAAGATACTAAGATTTGCTAGACTCCTTGCAGGGGCTTTTTTCTTTTCTTTTCTTTTGTATAACATCTCTACATTTTGCTAAATATAAATAATTTATCAAAAGTGACCGTAACGATTATTACATTGTTACAAAAGATCTATTTTAAAAGAAATGCTGTTTTTTTTTTTTTTACCTTTTTATCAAATGAACTTTAAAAAATTATAATAATAATACAATTTCCATAAAAATATTACACACTACAGTTTTTTAATAATTAGTATTCAATTCAAGTTTATTTGTATAGCGCTTTTCACGATACAAATC